TGTACAGGTTCCTAATGAGCACAATTAAGTGTTCCAGAATAATCATTCTCCAAAATGCTATCTCTAGCTTTTCATGATCCACACAATCAAATACCTTTGTGCAGTCAATAAAGCACAGGTAAACACTTTTCTGGTATTTTCTTCTTTCAGCCAAGATCCATCTGACATTCCATGTCCTCGTTGGAATCCAGCTTGAACCTCTGGCAGTTTCCTATCAATATATGGTTGCAGAAGCTTTTAAATTATCTTTAGCAAAATTTTACTTACATGCAATATTAATGAAATTGTCCAATGATTTCTACATTCCATCGTGTCACCTCTCATTGAAATGGGCACAAATAAGGATCTTTTCCAATCAGTTGGCCAGGTAGCTGTTGTACAAATTTTGGGGGGCACATGAATGAGTTCCTTTAGTGCTTCATCAATTTGTTGAAAGATTTCAACTTGTATTCCGTCAATTTCTGGGTCTTTTTCTTTGCCAGTGCCTTTAATGTATCTTGGACTTCTTTCTTCAGCATCATTAGCTCTTAATTATATGCTGCCTCATGAAATGGTTGAACATAGTCCATTTCTTTTTGGTACAGTGACTCTGTGTATTCCTTCCATCTTCTTTTGATGCTTTCTGCATCATTCAGTATTATGCTCGATAGTACAAGTCGAGGCTTGTTTTTTTTTTTTTTTTTTTTTTCAGTTCTTTCAGTTTAAGAAATACTGAATGTGTTCTTTTCTTTTGGTTTTCTAACTCCAGGTCTTTGCACATTTCATGATAATATTTGACTTTGTGTTCTTGAGCTGCCCTTTGAAATTTTCTGTTCAGCTCCTTTACCTCTTGTTTTCTTCCATTTTCTCTCTGTGCCAGAGAGCAAGTTTCAGAGTCTCTTCTGACATGCATACTGCTCTTTTCCCTTTATTTATTTATTTATTTATTTATTTATTTTTGTCTTCTTAATGACATTTTGCTTTATTCCTGTGTGATGTTCTTGATGTCATCTCACAACTCTTCTGATTTTCCATCATTAGTGTCTAATATCAAATCTGTTCTTGAGATGATGTCTAAATTCAGGTGGGATGTGTTCAAGGTAATATTTTGGCTCTTGTGCAGTTGTTTTAACTTTCTTTAGCTTCAGTCTGAACTTGCACATGAACAATTGATGGTGTGTTCCACAGTCTACCCTGGCCTTGTTTTAGCTAATGATATGGTGCTTTTCCACCATTTCTTTCCACAGATATAGTCAATTTGATTTCTCTGTATTCTCTCTGGTTAGTTCCATGTGTACAATCACCTCTTACCTTGTTTGAAAAGGTATTTGTAATGAATAAGTCATTGTTGTTTTTGTTAGGTGCCATCAAATCAATATTGACTCACAAAAACCCTATGCACAACATATGAAACACTGCCCAGTCCTGTGCCAACCTCACAATTGTTGCTATATTTGAGCCCATTGCTGCAGCTACTGTGCCAATCCAACTCAATGAGAGGTCTTCCTCTTTTTCCCTGATGCTTCATTTTACCAATCATGATCTCCTTCTCCAGAAAATATGTACTAAATATGAGAGACAAAGTGTGGCCATCCTGGCTTCCAAGGAGCATTTTGGCTGTACTTCTTCCAACATGGATTGCTTTGGTCTTCTGGCAGGCCATGGTACTTTCAATATTCTCCAACACCATAACTCAAATGCATCAATTTCTTCTACAGCCTTCCTTATTCACGATCCAACTTTCACATGCATATGAGGTTCTTGAAAATACCAGGGCTTGGGTCAGATGCACCATAGTCCTCAACCTGGCATCTTTGCTCTTGAACACTTTTAAAAAGTCTTGTGCAGTCATTGGCATTGTAAAATACCAGATTAATTATTTACTTAAGCAAAAAGAGATAAAGTCATTTAAAAATAACTATATAGTTATATATAAGTAAGACTGAATAAAGAGTATAGGGGAGTAAGTGCTATGATATAAGAATTGGAGTCCCAGAGAGAATGTAGCAAGGTAGATGCATTATTTTCATATTTGGTAGGAGAATTTAAATCACAGAAAAAATAATTTGTACGCTTGTTGTTGTTAAGTGCCTTCAAGTTGGTTCCAACTAATATTGATCCTGTATAGGCAGCAGAAAGCTTATATATATGTATGTAGGTATTTCCCTACCCAGAGAAACAGTGACACCAGAGATGGAGGCAGAGACGATGACATGGAGAGAAGGAGTGACTGGGGACTGACTCCATGCCCAAAGAGGGAGAGGAGCTGATTGTTGATGACCAGGGGGCAGGCTTGTAGGGTGTACCCTTTGGTTGGTTGATAATGCATGGAAGGCATTGTAATCTGGCAATGAAACGATATATACGATAGGATGAATGTAAAGCTAAAGTTCTCCCGTGTAAACTATCACATAATTCTCAATTAAACTTTTTTTTTTTTTTACCATATACCTACAAAGTGAAAAATAACATCCATGAGGAACATGATCCTCAGAATGATCAACCATAAGTCTGTAAAGACGGAAAGATCTGCATTTGTCTAAAAACAAAGTTCAAAAGGCACGAAGGGGGCTGGAAAGATGGGCGAATGGAAACATGAAACCAAGGGAGGAAGTGGAAAGAGTGCTTTGAGAGGATTGCTACCAGTGTTACAAAAGGAAACGTGAATAAATTATTGAAAGGCAAACTAATGTGCTCCGTTATTTTTCACAAATGTTTTGTTTTGTTTTTAAATGACCACGTATCATTTATAAAGTAAGTCTCAAGATGTTTGTTGTTGTTTTTAAGCGCCGTTGAGTCGGTTCAAACTCATAGTGTCTAGGATTTCCTACGAGCGGCAAGTGGGTTTGAAAGTGCCGACCTTCGGTTCAAACCAACCTTACAGTCCAGTGCATTATCCTACCACCCCACACCGGGACTCCATTTAGACGGGTGGAAATCATTCATTGTATGTTCTCTGACAAGATGTGAATAATAAAAAGAATGTTACAAAATCCCACTTAAGAAATGGCCCATTGGTCAAACAGGAAATCACATTGGCAACTAGAAAATATTTTGAAATCAATGATAATAAAAATAGCAAATTGCAAAATCCGTTGTTGTTGTTGTTGTTAAGTGCCGTCAAGTCGGTTCCGACCCATAGCGACCCTGTACAGGGTTTCTGAGGGTGTAAATCCTTACGGGAGTAGAAAGCCATTAGATGCAGCTAAAGTTGTGTTGGGAGGGGAGAGATTTATAGGCTTATGTGAGTATTTTAGAAAAGAAGATTGAAAAGCAAAGAGCTAATAATCCATCTCCAGAAGTTAAAAAAAAAAAAAAAGTCCACCAGTCAGATCCAAAAACAGTAAAAGGAAAGAAACAATAAAATTGAAAACAAACATTCATGAAATAGGCACAATCCACAAATCAGAAGTTGATTATTTGGGGGCAAGGGAGGGGAGGAAGTTGGTTCTTTAAAAAGACTAATAAATTGATTTTAAAAAACAGAGAGAACTTTATGAGGAAAGTTAAAGGGGCTCTCACTACAGATTCTACAAACATTAAAAATATAAGAGGCTCCTGGTTTGGTGCTGTAGAATTAGCACTGGTCTGCAACCCACAGGTCTGCAGTTCAAATCTACCAGCTGCTCTTTTGAAAACCCTATATAGGGTTGCTATGAGCTGGAATTGACTCCATAGCACTTAACAACAATATTCTAAAAAAAAATTAATACCAACAAATTTGACAGTGAACAAATATATAAATGGAAAACTGCCTTGAAAAAACACAATGAGCTAAAACCTACAAAAGAAAAAACAAGACAGAAACTCCAAACCCAAATGACTCTCTGCGGTTCGAAACTACCAGCCGCTCTGCGGGAGAAAGATGAGGCTTTCTACTCCCGTAAAGATTTACACCCTCAGAAACCCTGTACAGGGTCGCTATGGGTCGGACCCGACTCGATGGCACTTAACAACAACAACAACAACAACACCAAACATTTAAGTACATTTTTACTTCATCTTTATACAAAACCCTTCCAGAGGATGAAAGGAAAAGTACCTTCTAACTCATGTCTTAACTCTGCACTCACTGACACGGAGTCCGTTCTGGCTCACAGCAGTCTTATATAGGGTTTCTGAGACTGTAAGTCTCTCCCTTGGAGCAGCTGGGTTTGAACTGCCAACCTAGAGGTTAACGGCCTGACACTTAGTCCACCTTAAAAGAAAACTGTGAGCCAATCTCACTCACAAGCCTATACAAAATACCTAAACAAAATATTGGCAAATCAATTCCAGCAATATATTAAAGAATAATACATCCAGACCAATTTTTCTTTTATTTTATGAGTGAGAAGTAGATATATCACTTAAAATTCAATCAAAGGAATTCCTCCACACAAACAGAATAATACAGAAAATAAATATTATTATTATTATTATTGATGAAAAGTCATTTAGTAAAAAGTTTATCATCCATACAAGACACATTTTTTTTAAAATAAATCTGAGAAAGTTATAACTTTTATTTATATATTTTATATATAAACTACCTTTTATGTAGTCTCTTTACCCTAATAAATGCAGATACAAAAAAAAAAAAAATACTATAGCAAACTTCATAGTTAGTAACGAGTGCATGAAAAGCTGTTTTCTGAAATAAGGGTGTATGTTATCACAACATCTATGCAACATTGTTCTGGAGAGCTTTGCAACATGGCAAAATTATAACAAAAATAGAAAAGGGATGAGAATTGAAAAGGGAGAAACAAAGCTATCCTGCCCACAGATGACATGATTGTTCATGTGAAGCAATTAGAATTCATAAGTGAATTTAAGAATTTCTCTCAATATAAAAATCAAAGTTTCCTCTATATATCAGTAAAGATTTAAATAATAAAATATTGTTAAAAATATATTTCAATGACATAAAAGTATGTTCAACAATAAAACATTTAAGAAAAAAAAAGTATGTTCAATACTTATGAATGAGTTGCTATGCATAACCTTTATCCATTCATATACATACAATCTTTTGACAGACTGGTTGTGTAAATGAAGCACAGACCTGGAAGTCAATGACTGAGCTTAATAAGCACCTACCATTAGAAAGTGCCTGGGGACCTGAGGTAAGGAGAACATTACCCTAGAAATTAGTTATTAGCCATGTATTTAGCATTCCAATATTAACAAAAACTTGAAGGCAAACAGTTTGGATTTAAATCTGCTTTTATCAATCAAATCTTATTTTTCTACTGGATTATATTATAATTTCAAAAATGCCTCACCTTAATTTCTGTTTCATCATCTATTGGTCCTGTGTCACTAACAATTTTGTTTCAATCTTCTCTGGTGAAAATCTGTTTTCAGATTCTTATCAGTGCACTGAGGGTCATTTCTTAATGCCAATTGTCAATCCTGTATTGCTTTTGACTACTTTCAATATTGAATTTTCTTGAAGTTATATGTTATTTGGATAGCCATAGCTCATGAATAAAGGGTGGCATATAAGGAACCACAGCCTGTAAAACATAAACCTTACAAAGAGAATGTTACTTTTTTTTCCTTACCAGATTCTATGTGGGTTAAGACAAGAATATGATAAAAATACAAACTATGCATATAGTCCTCTGTATTCCCAACTTAAAAATCCTACTCTCCATCCACCACCTCCTATTTTTCCAGCAACAAACCCCTTCTAATTCCAGCATACTCTTCAATTCATTGATTCTACATCCCTCATCCAAGCCAAGGTTCCCTCTTCCATCCCAATCCAATTTAAATTCCATACCCAATAATTCTATTACTCAATTTATCATTGCTGTTGTTAAGTGCCAATGAGTAGATTCCAACTCATAGAAACCCTATATTGGGTTTCTGAGGAGTGGCTAATGAGTTTCAATAGTTTGGGGCAAACCTATGGAAGGGCAGTTTAGTCTCAGGAAAAGTGTGGTTGAAGGTAGATTACAACTCCCAGGCAAGCTCAGGGAGGGGCGGTTTGTCCTCAGACTTACATAGAGAACTGGAGAACTTTCCTGGATGCTTCCTTAATGTTGTGGTTTAGTGCTGTCAAGTTGGTTTCAACTCATAGCTACTTATAGGGTCTCTGAGGAAACCACTGAGATTAGTAATCCAGTGCTTATCCCACAATGTCATACCAGGACTGTGCTCCCTAATGATTTACTGAAAATAGCCACATATGTTACCTAATTAAGTCAAAAATTGGAGTCCTGGTGACTAATTCAGGGTAACATGGTTATGATTCATACCCCAACCACCATGTAGCTAAATAATAGAACCCCAAGAACCAATCATAACCTTTTTTTTACCTATAATTATGTACCAGAAAATGAGCCCCTCAGGTTGGAAGGCACTTAAAACATGACTGGGGAAGAGCTGCCTCCTCAAAGTACAGTTGACTGTGATGACATAAATGGAGAAAAACCCTTGGGAGTAAAGCTCTAGGGACCTTCATTTGCTGATGGAACACAATTCAAAATGAAGAGAAACAGCTGTAAACATCCATTAATAATTGGAACATGGAATATATGAAGCACAAATCTAGAAAAATTGGAAATTGTCAAAAATGAAACAGAATGCATAAACATCAATATCTTAGGCATTAGTGAGCTGAAATGGACTGGTATTGGCCATATTGAATCTAACAACTACATGGTTTACTATGCTGGGAATGACAAATTGAAGAGGAATGGTGTTGCATCCATCAAAAAAAAGAACATATCAAGATCTGTCATGAGGTACAACACTGTCTGTGATAGGATAATATCCATGCACCTACAGGGAAGACCAATTAATACCACTATTATTCAATTCATGAACCAACCTCTAAAGCCATTGAGGTTGAAATAGAAGAATTCCACCAACTTCTCCAATTTGAAACTGATCAAACATGCAATCAAGATATATTGGTGATCACTGGAGATTTGAATGCAAAGGTTGGAAACAAAGAGGAAGGATTGCTGTTCTTGTTGTTATGTGCCATGGAGTCAGTTCCAACTCATAGCAACCCTGCACAGGGTTTCCGAGGCTGTAAATCTTTATGGGAACAGAAAGCCTCATTTTTCTCCCATGGAACAGATGGTAGTTTTGAACTGCTGACCATGAGGATAGCTGCCTGATTCATAACCACTATGCTACCACAGCTCCTAGCAGTTGGAAAATATGGCCTAGGTGACAGAAATGATGCTGGAGATCGCATGATAGAATTCTGCAAAACCAAGGATTTGTTCATTTCAAATACCTTCTTTAGACAGCATAAGAGATGATTATACATATGGAACTCACCAGATGTAATACATAGAAATCAAATTGGCTACATCTGTGGAAAGAGACAGTGGAAAAGCTCCATATCATCAGCCAAAACAAGGCCAGGAGCAGATTGTGGAACAGCCCATCAATTGCTCATATGCAAATTCAGACTGAAGCTGAAGAAAATGAAAACAAGTCCATGAGAGTCAAAATATGACCTTAAACATATCCCACCTGGATTAAGAGATTATCTGAAGAACAGACTTGATACATTAAACACTAAAGACCGAAGATCAGAAGAGTTGTGGGATGACATCAAGAACATCACACAGGAATAAAACAAAAAGTCATTAAGAAGACAAGAAAGAAGGAAAAGATCAAAGTGGATGTCAGAAGAGAGTCTGAAATTTGCTATACAGTGCACAGATGCTGAAGCAAATGGAAGAAATGAAGAGGTATGAGAGCTGAATAGAAAATTTAAAAGGTCAGCTCGAGAAGACATAGTCAACTATTACAATGAAATGTGCAAACATCTGGAGTTAGGAAACCAAAAGGGAAGAACACATTCAGCATTTCTCAAGCTGAGGGAACTAAAAACAAAAACTTCAAGCCTTGACTTTCATCATCGAAGGGTTCTCTGGGCAAATTATTGAATGATGCAGAAAGCATCAAGAGAAGATGGAAGGAATACACAGCGTCATACACAACACCAAAAGGAAATGGTTGATGTTCAACCATTTCAAGAGGTAGCATATGATCAAGAGCCAATAATACTGAAGGAAGAAGTTCAAGGTACATTGAAGGAATTGGTAAAAATAAAAAAACAAGGCACCAGGAATTGGAATAAAAATTGAAATCTTTCAAGAAAGTGAGGCAACACTGGAGGCACTGCCAAGAAATTTGGACGACAACTATCTGGCCAACTGATTGGAAGAAATCCATATTTGTTCCCTTTCCAAAGAGAGGTAACCCAATGGAATGCGGAAATCATTGGACAGTATATTTGATATCCCATACGAGTAAAGTTTTACTAAAGGTAACACAGAAATGGCTGCTAGCATACACTGACAGAGAACTTCCAGAGGTCCAAACTAGATTCAGAAGATGACGTGGAATGAGGGATATAATTTCTGATATCAGGTGGATCTTGGCAGAAAGCAGAGACTATCAGAAAGATATTTAGTGTGCTTTATTGGTGATGCAAAGGCCTTCAATTGTGTGGATCATGACAAGCTATGTACAACATTGCAAAGTAGAGTATTCCAGAATGCTAAATTGTGCTCATGAGAAACCTGTGCATAGACCAAGAGGCAGTTGTTCAAACAGAAATGGGAACACTGAATGGTTTAAAATTAGGAAAGGTGTGCAATAGGGTTGTATTCTTTCACCATACTTATTCAAACTGTATGCTGAGCAAATAATCCAAGAGTCTGAGTTATATGAAGAAAAACATGGCATCAGGATTGTTGGAAGACCCATTAACAATCTGTGATATGCAGATGATACAACCTTGCTTGTTGAAAGTGAAGAGGACTTAAAATACTTACTGATGAAAATCAAAGACCAAAGACTTAGGTATGGATTACATCTAAAAGAAAGCAAAAATCCTCACCACTGGACCAATAAACAACATTCTTATCAATGGAGAAAAGATTGAAGTTATCAAAGACTTCATTTTTCTTGGATCAATCATTAACACTCATGTAAGCAGCAGTCAAGAAATCAAATGACATATTGCAATAGATAAATCTGCACAAGACCTTTTTACAGTGTTGAAGAGCAAAGATGTCAACTTAAGGACAAAGGTACGCTTGACCCAAACCATGATATTTTCAATAACATCACATGCATGCAAAAGTTAGACAGTGAATAAGGAAGATCATAGAAGAATTAATGCATTTCAGTTATGGTGTTGGAGGAGAATATTGAAAGCACCATGGGCTGCCAAAAGAACAAACAGATCTGTGTTGAAAGAATTAGAGCCAGAGTGCTCCTTGGAGGCCAGGATGACCAAACTTTGTCTCTCATACTTCAAACACATTGTCAGGAGGGACCAGTCGCTGGAGAAGAATATCACATTTAGTAAGGTGGAGGGTCAGAGAAAAAGAGGAAGACCCTAACGAGATGGATTGGTGAAGTGGCAGCATCAATGGGCTCAAGCATGGCAACAATTTTGAAGTTAGCCCAGGATCGAGCAGTGTTTCGTTCTGTTATGCATAGGGTTGCTATGAGTTGGTATCAACTTGATGGCACCTAACAACAACAACAACAACATGGTTATGTACACGTTCCAATCATGGTCCTTTTCCCACTTTTGACATGCCTTTAATATTCGTGAATTGATCTGCCACCAATCATGAATTTGTGATGACTTTCATTGTTTTCTGTCATACATTATAATGAGCCCCATGACTCTGAACTAACTGTGTGCATGCTGATGGTTTCCAGGAAGATTGTGTTTGTTCTGCTTAAGAGTTAATAAAAAAGGGTCGCTAGAGAACATTTTTTTTATTAATTTTTCCCCTATGACAACTCTCAACTTTTAATTTATTATTGTTTGCAACTACAAAATAAACATAGCATTTGCTTTCACAAAGCTACATTTTCATCAAATTTTAGCCTCATATATAACCCCAAATTGCTATGCTGTTGTTGCTAAGGGCTGTCAAGTTGGTTCCAACTCAGAGTGACCCTGTATAAGGTATCAAAGGATGTGCATCTTCTAGGGAGCAGTAAGCCTCATCTTTCTCCAGCAGAGCACTGATGGGCTACATTGTGGTTTGCAGTCCAGTGCATATCATGTTATCAAGCACTGAAATGGTGGACGTAAAGGAAATAGCTATAACATCTATAAATAGTTTACCAAGAAAAATGTTTTGCTGTTGCCAAGTGCTGTCATTCCAACTCATAGTGGCCCTGTACGAGTTCCAAGGAACAGCTGGTAGGTTTGAACCACCAAGCAGTCCACTGCTTGTTCAATAACACTAGAAGAGTGTAATTTTTCATGTTAATATCAGAAAATGACTGCAAGCAATTTTTCTTTGTTTCCTGTTCAGAACTATAAGCACTGCTTTTCTTATGCTATTGGAAAACCAGGAGACTTGAATCTGCCATATGAGATTATCAACAGTAGTAATAATAACTACATAATTTGGCCTGTGGACCATTCTGGAATGTATGTATTTGGTGTAAAGATCCTGGATCCAAACTATAGGTGAATATAAACATTTTATTTTAATAATACCTCTTACTTTTAGCATTAGTTCTTCAAAAGTAATTTTTTATTTTCTTCATTTCATTCGATGCCACCCAGATAGTCAATTGTTATTCTTATTACATAGTTTATCCTTTTTTGTTTCACAGTAGTCACACAGATTAAACATTCCATGGGGGTAGGAGATATTTTATGCTAAATGTTAATTAAGTCAATCAATTCTCCATTCCATTATATTGTTGTAGTTGTTGTTGTTATGTGCTGTGGAGTCAGTTCCGACTCATAGCGACCCCGTACAGGGTTTCTGAAGCTGTAAATCTTTACGGGAGCAGAAAGCCTCATCTTTCCATCAATAATACATATGACTTTTATATGGATACGGAACAGCTGGTAGTTTCGAACAGATGACCCTGAGGCTAGCAGCCCGATTCATAACCACTACTCTACCAGAGCTCCTTTGAGTACATACTAAATGCTATTGCCATACTTGATGCAAACATAACAGCCTAAAACTTTGAGGTGTATTTAATTAAGATGTGAAAAGGAAGAAGTTGGGCTACATATACAAACCTAGGCAGTCTACATCAGAGCTAATTAAATGAGGCAGTTCTCAAAAAAGTCATATGTATTATTGATGGAAAAACTCTAGTGGTGCAGTAGGTTAAGCACTGAGCTGTTAACTGGTTGGTGGTTCAAACCTACCAGCTGCTCCATAGGTAAAAATTGTGACAATCTGCTCCCTTAAGTATTTATAGTCTCAGAAACCCTATGGAGCAGTTCTACTCTGTTCTATAGGGACACTATGAGGTCAGAATTAACTTGGGGATTGTGGGTTAGTATTGATGGGCACAATAGTAATTCAGAGATGAAAAGTATTAGTGCAGTTCTGAGCAGTAGAAGCAAACTTCCTAGTGAATATGAAATATTGTTAGAATTTACATTGCCAGAGGTCTAGAAAAGATACTTCTGATTAAGAGTAAAGAAATTGCCAACAGAAAAAAGATGGAGGCATCCCAAGTGCCCATCAGTTGAAGAATGGATAAACAAACTGTGCTACATACATACAATGGAATATTATGCTACCTTGAAGAACAACAAGGAAGCTGCAAGCCACCGTATAACATGGATGAACCTTGAGGACATTATGCTGAGTAAAATTAGTCAGTTACAAAAGGAGAAATACTGCATAGGACCATTATTGTAAAAGTTTAGGAAAAAGCACCCACCCTAAAAGGATATATATATTTTTTTTTTGCTGATCACCAGGATGTATGGGATGAGGTGAGGGAAAGGAGGGGAAGACAGAGCACAGGGTAGGGAATAGACAGGTAGCTTGGGTCCTGGCAGTGTGGGGGAAGGCAATACACAAGAAGAGGGAGGGGAATGGAAGAACCAAGCGGATTGGAAAACAGTAGGCAGGTTTGCGTGGGCTAAGTGGGACAGAGGTAAATAATGATTTATGCTCAACCTTGGAAAAACAGGGCTCTGGGATACAGGGACTGAGACATGGTTTGAATGGGTAAAAGAGGGGAATAATGTTAAGATGCTTGGCTGTCTTTTGAATCTTGGGTTCCCTTGCATACTATTGTAAAATAGACAAAATAGAAATATGATAGGATGAATGAAGAGACAGGAATAGCCAGAAACATCACAATAGAAAGTTTGTAAATCCATCTACCCTAAAGGGGGCTAGAAGTTGCCCAGTGAAAGAGGCTTCCTGGAGAGCCTTTGCATTGCATAAGAATTTAGGTGGAATCCTGAACGTCATCCAGAATCTTCTGAGGTGGGAAATTTCCACTTGAAAGGACAAGTAGACCAGCCTGGAGCCCCTAGAAGAACAGAAGATACTTCGTGAAAGAAAGACCGGCAGGAAAATTTAAAAACAATAACGGCAGTCTGATTGACTACTACAAGAGTAAGCAAGCTGTTCGCCCAGGAGCCAGCAACACAAGTGGTCAGGTCCCCTCAGAGCAAACCCCCTTCCAAGACTAAGACTCAAGGGAAATACACAAGCGGGCATGTGGTCTGGCTGGTGATCACATTGGTCACCAAAAAGGGGAAGTGGGGGAAAAACAGCAATGAAGCTGTGAGCTAAGTCCCACCACATTCAATAGACTCCTGTTAACCTGGATTGAGACCTGGTTGGCCAGCAGTATGGCAAGCCCTGGGGACTCCTGGGCCCTGAGGCAGTGACATGACCACAGAGGACTAGAGTGGAGAGTAAAGTGTCCAGCTGATATGAAGTGAGGGGAGATGCACAAGA